CGTGCTGGAGGGGTGCTGCGGTGGGGAGAGAGGTCGGGGTTGGATATTGAGGGGGTTTTGAGGGTATGGATGAATGGCTATAGGAGGCGCGTGAGATTGATAATCATTCGTAGAGTAGTGAGCAGATAATGGTGGAGTTTGTCAAATGCTTTGGCCGTGGAAAGTGTGCCTTCAGAAGTTGTGTGTGACAGCGAAGTCCATGTTGTGTGTGTGCCCAAAATGAGGCTATTCCCAGCTTTGGAGAGCGAAGATCCAAGGGCAGTAGCCCTCAAAGCTCCAGAAAACCCATCTGAAAGAGGGAAATAGTAGGAGGTTGGAATTTAATTCCTCCGTCTTCACCAACCTTGAAGTGAGGATAACTCTAGTAACTTCTCATGTGCACCATCTTCGTCTGCCAGCACACCTGCCGCCATCTCCATCGACTTCCAACGAACTCTCGTCCTATGCTTCCCTCCACTTCCTTTCTCATGCTCCATGAGTATCACCGGTCTCACAGCCCTGCCTTCGTATTCGAGCCAGAAGCAACTCACTCGGCCGAGTATACCATACATCAAGTTCTCGTGCCTCGAACTCTACTGTACAGCGGAGGAGAGGGGCAGTAAACTGCGAGATATTGGAGCAAGTTTCATGATTACGATCATCATATCCATTTTCATTGTGTTACGAGCTCTCTTTAGAGCTTCCTTGATCTTCTTTCTCCATTCCAGAATAACCATTGATCCATGATGGCAGCAGGCACACCACGGCTGAAACTCGAACGCGAAGCATGAACGACACAACAAGCATGAAAAGATGGAGGCACGATGGAGGAGGACTATTGAGTTGGGATTGGATTCCTACATGAGGAGGAACTGGGCTTGAATAAAACTTCTACATATTCAATGTAGTCTTCTATTGGGTTGAAAGGGTATTGGGTACTGAAGGTCATGGAGAATTGATTGCATTGTAAAAGGTAGCTATCTAAGGTGTTTATGTAAAGAGTGTAAGGTTTAGGCAGACATGAAGCATTTAGGCAGCAGAACTTAAGTGGATCTGTTGGTACGACCTGGTTGTCGTAAAGGGTGATACACAAACATAATCTCTCTTTGTATTCATTCGTGTATGAAGAGTAAAGGTAAAGAGAGGTGGTACCCTAAAAGCTTAAGTATATGAGTGGCAAGCCACTCACATGACCTAAAGCATATAGATCCACCAGGCTCTCGTACAAGGTGCTATTCACCAGAATTATATACCGACAGGATCAAATAAGGAAGTGGAGCAAAAGAGAAAGTAGACCCAGCACAACATCTTCCTATGACATAACTATCCAATAGCGGAAGAAGTAGTTGCATTTTGTAAAGAGGTTACCCAAGCTGTCTGCATCTGCATGTCACTTGAGGGCATCTCAAACAAGAGAAATTCAAAAACTCCGCAGCAAGTCAACCCTCCACGCATAAGGAAGAATCTGCCGCGTAAGCAGTACTTCCTTGCTGCAGCAAAGATTTCCTACCATAAAAGGATCAGGGTTATGTAACGATTCTTCGGGACACATACATATCCAAGAGATATGAGAGGACTGACTCCATAAGTTGGTTTTCAAGAAAATGGAGTCTTCATTCGGTTATCTCAAGTGATGTCTGAGCTCATAATGTTATTGACTTGAGCATACTACCATCGAAAAAACTGCAATATCCAGCATACTCGCATGAAAGACTCGTACTCCATATTGCAAAACAATCCTTCAACTCTCCTCCAGTACTGCTATAAACCAGATGTGCTCTTTCGGAGCTTCCTCCATTTGCCCGACAAAAACAGCAGAAATAATTACTACGCAGCAAGCTTCCCGCATGGTACAGCAAAAAGAAGGTGCAGGATTTTGAGCGTTGCAAAAGGCGCATGTGCAGGAGTGGCTCGTTGAATTGCCGACACAACATCTCAGCCTATCCACTGCCTGCTTTCAGTATGTAGGGGATATTTGGTAGCTGCCGAGTTTGCAAAGTAAGTACTCAGCTCTTCTTCAAGCCCCAGTGTTCCCCAGAGATTTTCAGAACACTGATATGTCTGATGCTGCAGACCTTGCGTAGTCACCACCTCCCTATCGTTCGAATACACAGCCTCGAAAAGAATATCGATACAGTAAACCCCTCCCACTACTACCTCAAAAGAAGCGACCTACCGGAAAGTTACAGCATGAATATTACTGAAAGGCACACAAAATGGTATAACAGTAGTAACTGGAAGATGAGTTGGCGTAGCGCTTGACATCCAGGGTCATACCGATTTTGAAAATTCATCTGTGAGAGAGGATAATACGAGGAGTTTTGAAAAGAACGTCATATCAAGCGATGTGGGTTATATATACAAGTGAGGTGTATGAAAAGGGAAGGAGAGATAGAAGGGCGAAGATTAGGGGAAGATCATAAATAATAAAAATGGGGAAAAGATTTGTAAAGAAAGAGCAGGAGTGTCCCTCAAAGTCCTCTATGGGAAGTGGTATTGATTTTCTCTTTTTCAGCATGGCAGAAGCGTAGAGCTGATAATTACCAAACACTCGAGAGTCTACAGTTCTGCAATCATAGTTGCCAACAATGGCAATATGATGCGGAATGTTCATTGAGAAACGGGAAGGCACAAAATAAGTAGCTGATTCAACCAGGAGGATAGTACTGTGTAGGGAGTCACTGTACCTCAGCTAGGAAAAGGGTCTTTTGCCGCGAAATCAAGATGCGGTTCTGTGAAACTGGTGTATATTCATGGGCTCATGGTATATCCATACTGTATTAGAAAGAACGTCCATCCACGACGAACCGAGTCTCTAATCGAGAATTCAATCTGAAATCTTGAAAGCTACTGTAAAATGTCGGTATACAGTTCTTTGCTTATAAGCTCCAGCTCTCCAGAATCAACTGGAAAGACTATCCTGGAAAAAACCGTAACACCGAATTACCTCTGGTAGACTTGCAAAAGTACAAGATGATCTTGAAGTAATAACTAAATTCACACTTTCCGAGTGCCAGAGCATGAAGTGGTTCCCACATGTAGCAATTCAAACACACTATATTGCACCTTGAAGAGTGAGCAATGATGAAGTGAGTGGTCATATCAGTCACCTTATTCATGTTATCACAGCCACCCATTCATGCCAATTTTACAGTCCTTCTGAATCTCAAAACAACACACTCGATCCAATGCCTTTTCTTCATATGCTCATCCAATACCACTTTCCTGCATTATGTGTATGCTCACAAACCCTTTGTATGAAATACATCTCCTTCCTCCGTCATCTCACAACGTCTCTCTCGAATCCTCACCACGGTCGTACATCCCTTCTAATCTACAACGATAGAGATATCGCAAATTCCCAGGCCACAAGCAATAATTCCAAGGACACCGGGCCCTGACACACCAATTGAGCCCCATAAAGATCTCCAAGCAAACATGGCAACAACCGACAAAGCCCAAAACAAATCAAGATAGACCAAAAACATACTATACACTCAAGAAACAGGGACGGGTGGTATACACCTGTACTTCAAAATCCCACACCACACCACAAGCAATCATTACATGACAACCACATCAAGTATCCCGCCCATCTCAGCACTCCAACCCCTCAACATACACTTTATAACCTTCCAAACGATCTACTCAAGCTATTTCACTGTCTCTTCAAGTTACCACTACGACGCTAATCAATCAGAGGGTAAAGACACTAGATACCGTGCGAACAGAAGATCATTATATCTCCGCTATTCCTGTGCGTATCACTATGTCTCGGTAGAGATTCCAAGTTCTATACAATAAAAAAACCATGACACATGTCGTTGAATCAGCGGCTTTAACTCCTGTCATCTATGCTATGCCGAATATATATTATCTCTATCGAAGAAAGTTAACTTTCACTTTACAGGAGTGAACCAGATTTTCCTTTTCCATATACGGATATGACCTTTGGCTCAACAGACCTCTAAAGACGAGCATAGAAGAAAACAGAGTAAGACATTCCATCTCAACTGATGAATGCACCCATCACTTTAAGCACAAGCAACAACCCTTGAAGGAAAGAGAGCCCCAATAAACAAACCTCCAAGACTAACTTCTCCCTCAAGAGGCAAAACCCCCACAGAGACACCTCGAGTACCAATAGCAAGAAGCGGCCTAGGAAACGCATCACTCAAGAGTTGCCGCCATAGTAACTATCCTCGCTCTCAAATTCTCAGATATAGATACCTATCCTATCCTAGATCTACCATAAAACCGAGCTACGTGCACAACCATCAACCATCAACCCAGAATCAAAAACCACTCATTATCCATCCACATCAGCACGAGCGAAACACCCAATGTGGTAGAATAGTATAAATACTACCAGAAAACGTAGGGGGTACTCGTACTCTTATAGCGTGATACAAGAAAAACTTCAGACTCTGCCCGTACTGGACTGCCACTATGATTATGATTTTGACAAGAGTTGAAGAGGCTCCGGGACGACGTGGGAAAAATGTAAGAGTATGTACTGTATTGCTCGCTTGACACTTTCCTCTTTGGATATGAGTGCAATTCTGGGATTTTTTTAATACTAGAAAGAAAAATGTTTATTCCGTATACTTTATACTTTATACTATATAACACTAACGTTAACCTACCTATTCCATCTCCCATCCCATCCCCATCCCTATCCTATCATCCCCATCCCTATCCTATCATCCCCATCCCTATCCTATCATCCCCATCCCTATCCTATCATCTCATCCCATCCATCCTCATCCTCATCCCATCCTCATCCCATATCATATATCACACACTATAGACCCCCTACACAAACCAGTATAATATCAAACACCCCTCTCCTCAACCTCACCCTCCCCCTCGTTACCCTCCCCTCCCTTCTCCTCAAGAACGTACTAGATCATCACAAACCAATATTTCATTTCACATTTCACATTTCACAAGACAACCTCAAAAAAACTCAAACAACAATCCAAAAATCATAAGAAAAAAACATCTCATTCATCCCACCATGCCACGAAGAAAGGTACCGACCATGCAATGCCTCCCTCCCATCAAAAAAACCCCCCAAGCAAATACCACGCATATATGTACCACGCATATATGTACCACGCATCCCATCCCACATAAACATTCCCTCCATGAACCCATGAACCGCAGAACTCCATGGTTTTCAGGTATGTACATACCGACCTAGTAAAGCAACGCAACGAACTTGACGCGAATCCCCCCTTTCCTCCCCCATAACCCAAACCCCATAAAACACCCAGCAAGATGCGGTTCATAAGCTTTGATTCACTTATCCCTCGTATCTCCTTCTACCCCTATCTCTCATGACGAAAAAATCAATCACCCCCCTTACCCCCGGTCACCTTACTAGCCTGCACCGCACTCATCTTATTGATCCAATTGGTAGCCGGTTGAATCTTCTTGACCGTTCGAATCTCATCACTCGCATATCCTGGGATACGGATATTATATCCACGTTCCAGAGTGAGTTGGATATCGCGAATCTCCAGGGCTTTAGAACCGCGTTCTTTGGCGACTTTGCAGGCAGCGTGGAGAACTTGGTCGACGAAGGTATCGGCTACAGTAAGCATGGACTGAGGAGAGTGTTAGTCACGGTGAGTAATAGGAAGAGGTGAAAGAGTGAAAGTGAGGAGGGAGTGAGTGTGGAAGTGAAAGTGAAAAAAAGTGAAGAAATGTAAGAAAAATATCAATAATAAAAGCTTACCTCTTCAACTTCGGGCGTCAAACTAGGAGCATCTCCATTACCACCCCCAGTGACCTGCTTCACAAGCTCATCCAATTTCTTCCTACTCATCACACGATCTCCCTCTCCACTCATATTATAACCAGGCGCCTTGGGAAGGACAGGTTGAGACATAACGCCATTACCCACATTACTCGGGCCACCAGAATAAGTTGGTCGTGCCTGATTAATGGCTACCGGTTGAGGAGGCGCAACTGCGCGTTCAGGAAGGTGCTTGGGGATGGGCATCTTGTTGGTGTTGATTTGAGGATCGCGTTGAGTCGCGGATGGATGTGAGTGACCCATGACTTGTGGTGCTGTTGTATTACCGCTGGAATAGCTTCTGGCTGCTTGAGTAAGGGCTGCCTGATGCGTAAGAGCCCGTGGTGGTTGTTGAGTATTTGCGGATTGAGGAAGTCCAGCTGATTGGGGGTGACCAGATTGAGGATGACCGCCAGCAGTTAATGGTGAGTTTTGCATGGGTCGGGAAGTTTGCATCTGGTTGATGGAAGTATTTATGGGAGGAGGAAGGCCCGTCTCGGTCTTGATATTTTGCGCAACTTGCTGTTGTGGTAGGGAAGGAGCGCCCGCGCCCGGCATTTGGGATTGGGAAATCTGGTTATTTTGATTTTGTGGCATAGGACGGGCACCCATCTGTTGCTGGTTTTTCGCGGCTTCTATAGCTGCATTTACCGCTTGAGCACCTTGCATTGCTGGATTTGGAGCTTGTTGCTGAGGGTTCAATTGGGGTCTAGCAGGAGCCGCAGCATTCTGTCCATTATTCGTATTGACAGCTCCACCAGCGGGTGCTTGATTCGCTTGCTGACTCGCTTGTTGATTTTGATTTTGATTTTGCGGTTGAGCAGCCTTTTGTTGATTTCGAAAGTTATCAACAAATTGCTTCGCTTCGGCGTGAGTCTTGGTAAAGTGCTCCTTTTTCTCTCGGATATCCTTTTGCTCTTCCTCCGTCAATGGCTTGCCCGCCTCCTTTCTTCTCATTTGATGAGCATCTAAGGCTGCCAGTCTTGCCGTTGCTCCTTCCATAGCCACAAGTCCCTTGAGATATCTCTGCTTCGCCTCGCCCAGCCATTTGGCCGCCTCGGGGGTTCCTTGCGTGATACCAGCTGGCAGAACGTATGGGAACTTGCTCACATGTTCCATGACTTTGGCCGAAACTTGTGAAGTTTTGGCTCTCTGCTGCTGTTCTGCCGTCGAGGAAGATGCGCTACCCTCTCCTGCTTGTGTTTGTGGTTGTCCCTGACCCTGCTGTGGTGCTCCTGCTCCACCTGGAGCACCTCCATTACCACCAGCCTGCTGGGCTTGCTGCTTCTGTTGTTGCGCCATTCGATATGCCTGCATTTTTGCGGTCAAAGTTTTGGAGAACTCGAATATCTTGCGCTTCGCATCGGTGTGTTCTTGTGTACCTTCGGCGTTTGCGTCGTGAATTGCCCACAGTTGTCTCAGACCGTGTTCCCACTTTGCCTTTTCGCTGGTGAATTGATCCGGCAGGTTTCGCATCTGCTCCGGCTTATACAGAATGATCTGTTGCGGTCGCCTCTGTTGGTTCTGTTGTTGCTGCTGCTGTTGAGCGGCTCCAGGTTGGCCTTGAGTCTGACCTTGTGGGAATTGCCCACCCTGCGCTGGGTGGTTCATGGTGCCGAGACGCCGAGGGTACCGAGGCGTCTAGGGTATATATAAGGGTATTGAGTGAATTGTGATGGTATTCACTGTAAGAAGGTTAGGATGATGATGGTTAAAAGAATGAGATGCGTTCACAGGTGAATGTTGCGCGAACGAAATGTATTGGATGAGGTTGTAGACCTTCGGTTGAAATGGCCGACACGACCAGGGTTGATCCAGTCAATCTGAGTCCGTGTCCGCACTAGCCTCAGCCTTATCAAACTAAGTGAAGTCATTTTTTGTAGCCTCATCAACGTGTAACCTTTATAAAAAGAGGAAAAGAGGAGAGAGTCATCACTTGCAATTCTTATAGAGGAACAAATCGTCCTTGAATCTCTCGTTAAAGGAAGACATGTTTCCAAACTCGATTCTTCATTTCAGTCTGATAACCAAGCATCTCCACATCACATGGGGATAAGTAGGTCATGACTCTATTACTGTAATCTACAAGTACTTTGTAATCATAACTACCTACCTAGGGATTATGGTAATCATATAACCATTTACAAGGAAGAAATCAGGCCCGAAATTCCCGAGCAGTTTCAATTCACGTTCCGAGAAAATGTGGAACAATCAGGTAGAAGTAGTGTATTCGGTTCATTAATACACAACTCGAATTATCCACCACCAGCAACAATGACAGGATTCAAAAAAGTGTTATACCACAGTCCAAAATGAAAACCAAACACGAATCAACGCCTCGCTTCTAATTCGCTATGCTAATAAATAAAAGCTACTGTAAAACCATTCGCCATGCTATCCTGACACCACTGAACTGAATCCATGGTTTCCCACGTCTGCCTACAAGGCAATTGTCTATCTATGGTCATAAGTTCATCAAATCATAAATCCATACCATCATCAAAACCATCCCATCCAGTGGAAATGTAAATCCATACACAATATCCCGCCTCAAGGAATCGTCGTTCAGCGTGTATGTAATCCACCCATCCACTATTACTCATCGGAATCCAGATCCATCTCTTCCTGTCCATAATAGTAATATGGCAGCTCGCGGAATCCATCCGGTAGCATATCGTGGTCAACATCCACCAGTTCCTCGCAAGACTCGGGTTCTTCCACCTCTTCAATTCTTGGAGGTGGATCATCAAATATTAGACTCTCGGTTTTTCGTCGTAATCTTCGTGCGCTCGTGGCACCCTCAAATGTGGCAGGTTGTATGTCCTCGTCGTCGGTATCACTACCAATACTCTGACTCAGAGTTCGCTTCTGCACACTGCCTGAGCTCCTCCTCTGACGTCGCTTCTCTTCTCGCATCTTCTGAAACCATGCTTCTCGTTGTGTTTCAAAGTCGGGTGTTCCAAAATCATCAGCTTCATCGAGAACTTCATCAGTCTCGCAATGTAAGTTGTGAATGCCCGAGTACAAGTCTTGGTCAAGTTCGATACCCCTAATGGACGCACGATCTGAAGGTGCATCTTCGTACTCGTGAGGACGGATTACCGAGTTCTCATCAAGGTCGTATCCCTCATAATCCGACTCAGGGAACTCGTCGATGGTAAATGATCCCTCTGCAACTCGAACAGGCCTGCGTGGAGGAGATGCTGCGGGAGCTGGTGAAGAAGACATTACGGAACGTGGTGGACTGCCGCAAGCAGCAGACTGCACCGAGTCTGGGGTTGAGGATCGTGGAGAGAGGTCGGCGGCGCGAGGTGAGGGCATGTAGGAAAACGAATTGTCTCGTCCAGTTGGGACAATGCCTCCATTCTCTAGAGAAGCTGGTATTTGATGATCGGTAAAGACGTGACCATGGCGGCGGCTCTTTACAAACGTATACGCAGAAGCAGTGGTGGGCGTTTGAGGTGGGGAAGAAGGTCCAGCTTGCTGGGAGAAATTGAAGTTGGGAGTAGAAGGGCGCATAGCTGCGTTTTCGAAGGTCGTGTTTGCGGTATTATTTTGAATTGAATGGTGTTGTGGCACTGGATGGATGTCGTCGTGTCGTCGTAGGGTCGGTCAAGGCGTCAGTGCCCGCGGTAAGTATCTCCAACAAGGAGAGAAGAGTTGAGGAGGATCGCAGTTCATGATAAGTAGTGAAGGAGCTCGGACTGTCGAGGTCTGCAACCTGAATCTCCGGCTACTTTCTAGGGAGCGGAAAAGGGGGAGATGGAATATCCAGTGACGGTGTCCTCTCAAGATGATGCACAGAAGGAAGTTGAGCGGGCAGGGGGAGGATCGACCGTTTCCCTTATACTTCCAAGTATATGTCCGACAGGGCAACCAATTGGCAGTGCTCGAGTGCCGTGAGATTGGAGCTAAAAGGAAGACGGACAAGCGTTACTTGCTGACGGGAACGGCTTGAACTTGTTTCGAGCGCAGCCAAGTGTGCTTCGCAATAGTGAGTCTCGGGGGTGGTGTTTGCGAAGGGTTCGGGATGTGGATGTGGATGTGGATGTGGGTGTGGGGTTTGGATGTCCGGGAGGGATTGATGTCTAGGGGTGTACGAGTACGGAGTACTCGAGTAGATGTGATGTCGAGGATGTCGAGGGTGTAGTGTGTCTACCGCGTCTTGCACTGTCGAGTACTAGAGTGAAGGAAGGGAAGGGAAAGGGAAGAAGCTGGCGGAGCGCAGGAATTGTGCGGCAGAGGCAAAACTTATACTCGACGAGATATGGATATGGATATGGATCGTATGGAAGCGACCCAGCTCGCGGTCAACTCGAAGTACCTATTTCTTGCACGACGCAGGGAAGCGCTCGCAGGATTGACGCAGCCGGGGCTCGTCGGGACGTCTCGACGTCTCAACCGCGTGGTGACCCTAACCCTAAACTGCCAATCGTAGGTTGACCGGAGGCTCAGAATTCTCCTTCTCGCTCTGGTACATACTCGAGTAGAGTAAAAGAGTCCCAGGCCAGGGCAGAAGAGAGGCAGCTCGGCGCAGCGCAGGCAGCACAATTGTTGAAAAGTATATCCACTAGGCCGGCGTGCAGTGGATGAAAAGGATGGAGCGCAGGCAGAGCCTCCAGTATCATTGTCACCCCCTAGTAAATAAATATACCTACAGTGTGTGCTATGAGACGGGGCAATGGCCGGCGCAGATACTCCACACCTCTTCTTGCAACTCACCAACTTCTGCCAACAGCCAACGAGGACCGGCGCCGGCTTCTTCAGCCTACTTCCCTACTCGGGTCCCGTCGTCCCAATGGAAAGATGGTCGGGCATCAACGGTCTGCTCTGGTCTGGTCTGCCCTGCTTCATCCATTCCGATGCCACCCACCACCACCACCGCAAAGCTCTCGCAATGAGGGCGAAAAGAGGTCATCGGAGGCGAGAAAGTCGCTGCTTTTTCTCGCCCGACCGTGATCACTCACCCCAGCTGCTTCCGAGGGTGTGGAGAGGGTAAGATGCGCGATAGGGACCATGGGTCGTTGGCCATTCGCCCCTCGGTCACCCTATCGACGCAATTACTGTCCTTGTAGCCGGTAGGAGAGAAGGATGCGATGTGATGCGATGCGTTGTCCGTCGTTCCCACCCACGGAAAAAACGAGGAAAAAGCAGAGAAACTCGACCATCGTGCTTCTCTGCAGATGGACGGCAGGGCCAGCCATGCCACCGTGCGGGAGCGGTCAATGGCGCTTCTACCTAGAACCTGACCAACGGACCTGGAGGTGCTCCCATAGTGGGGTTTTGGTGGGGGGGAGATGCAGAGAGGAGCAGGCAAGAAAAGAATAGGAAGGGCATTATTGCATATGTGAAAAGTTCCTTCTTCGATTGATCAATGCAATTGGCTTCTATGTAGCATGAGGGGAGTGGGGGGTAGTGTGGGAATACACAGGTTATCTGCAGCTTGCAGTCGGAGTAGCAGTAGGAGTAGCAGTACAGTAACCAGACGAGATGAGAAGCTGTCGGGCGAGTGGCTAGTCCTACTGTAGATAGTGGTCATCCTGTACCCTACCTCCGTGATAATATGCAGCACTAACAATAAACACCATCGTTGTTGGCTGGAAATAGAAATTCAATGGCCTGTATGATGTATGTATGTAATGCCCGTCCGTACTTGCGGTTCTACATGGATCTTTCTCACCGCGTACACCTGTAATCCTCAATTAGTGGGGGTACCACTCTACTCGGGTAGGTTTCGTGTGAGGACCGGCTTGCCTGCACAGGCCACTTTTACACTAAAACTCATAGAAACTACCCTAGATTAATTCAACTCTACAATTATTAAAAACTACTAGCGCTAGTAGTAATGAGTAATTCGAACATTGCGCGTAGATGCACCAACTTTGTTTGTTATCTAGACTTGATTATAGAAAGTTATAAAGGAGTAAAGTTAACTTATACGTTTTCTAATAGAAAAAAGCGTTAAAAATCAACTATCTAATTTATCCTAATATTATAAGACTATCTCTACTTGTTAGTGTTCTATATGTAGTAGAGAGATCTATACACTTCGAATTAATCCAGGAATTTAGTTATAGAGAAATCTATGAAAGGGGGGATTTCTTATATATTATCATAAAGTGCGTGAAAGTGGTCTTTTTAGTGGGGTTTTCAGGTGCGCAGGTAAGCCGGCCTTCACACGAAACCTACCCGAGTACCTAGTGGGGTAAGTATCAAACGTGTGTAGAAGCAAACAAGCAAAGGATCTCATTCGCTCTGAGCTGAACCGAAATCCCTTACGTGTATTGAGAGAGAGAGAGAGAGAGAGATTGCCTTCGCTAAACATTTCTAGTAAGCGATGAACCACGGTATAGGTAGAAAGGAAGCGAGCACTCCACTTTCGTGGACTCGGGATTTTGATGTAACATTTATAGAATCCTGATGACTTAAGAATATAGTAAGTAGGATGGTTAAAGATTCGTAGGAAAGAGTTGCAGGGAATCGTTTGGAGGGTAGTAAAAAGGGGGAATGTTAATATAAGATTACCTAAAGAGCGTAGGTAGGGGCGATAGACATGGGGTATTTCCGTTACTTACCTATTAAGTTAGCTATAAAATAAATAAATTCCCATTTAGAGTAAAACAACGTGTTTTCCCTGGAAGTACTAGAGTTAGGGTAGAAAAGGATACTAACGCTCTACTTGGCCCTCTCTCTACTAAATAGGTACTCTAAGGGTTCTATGGAGAATATAAGAGGAGAAAAAAGAGAGTAACCTAAGGAATTGAAAAGATCTAAAAATCTTTAGTAGTGAAAACTTTGAATAGAATAATAGATTTGTTTAACTAAAGCTATGTATATAATATAGTAAATACCTCGGATTTTATATTAGTATTAGTCTAGTTTTGGCATTTATTCTAGACGGAAAATGGGGAGGGGGGACGAGGGGGTATTTTCAAGGTTAAGTACTAGCGACGCAAAATGTGGGGTAACGCTCCGTACCGACAACAAAACAACACAACATTAGAACATCGTGAACCTCGCGTAATACCTATCTGCTACACCACAGAACAGAACCCCCCCGGTGTGCTAAGTTCCTGAATTTATTCTGGACCCTCCTACCCTACGCCCCATACAACAAACAAACAACACCATGTCCCTCCTATCCCGCCACCTCGAACAAATCGCCCTATCCGCCGACTCAATAGCCACCCTCCCGTATGTCCTCCCAGCCCAACCCCATCCCCCACAAAACCAAACTAACAAACCCAGCTTCCCGCCTCCAAAAATCTTCACCAACGCCCTGCTCTCCACCCCCGACATCACCTCCCTAATCCGGGACACCGAACCCCACGAACGGGCTCTCTTCTCCGTCCCTCACCCCCAACCACCCCCCTCCATCCTACCGAGCGAGAAACCCACGTCGCGTCGCCAAACCATCTTCAACGTCGCCGCGGGGGAGGTGACGACCTCGTCGACTAGCACGAGCCGCGTCCCGCGGCGGAATACGGCTGTGGCTGCGGTGTTGGGCGCGGAATTACATACGGAGGTTAGGAAGACGGAGAGGGGAAGGGGGGAGGTGGATGTGGAGGTTTTATTGAGGGGGGTGGAGAAGCTGAATGCTGTTTATGGGGTTGACGGTGTGGAGGGGAGGGTGAGGGATGTGAGGGCGAGGTATGGACGGCTGAGGGGGAGTGTGGAGTTTTTTGAGAGGAAGGTTGAGAGGTTGACGAGGGGGGT